GAGTGGATGTTATGGAGGTAATGTGATTAAATAAGATTCAGCCCTGAGCCCATATTACAATTGGCATAGTGATGCCTTCTCCATCCTATCCTTTGACCCTTTCACCAGTTCACTGGTGTATATTGGAAAATTTACCTTGCACATGGAAGAAATCTTTCTTTGTCTTTGAGGCCCATGAAACAAAAGCTGTAAAACTATAGTAATGGCCAAACTAAAGTATCTCCATCCTACCAAAAGAGTAAGCACAAATCTTTATTGTATCTCTGTAGAAATCAGTGCCACCATAAAAAAATATGGAAGAATAAAGAATGAGAGTCATGAACTTTAAAAGACTTGTTTGGTCTGAGTAGAATACCAACAATCTTGGCAAACAACATATTTAATCAGGTGGTGATTACAAATACAGCCAATATGATGTCTCCACTGGCAAAAAAAAAAAAAAAAAATCAACAAATACCTTCATCTTTGTTTAGTAATGGTCTAACAAGTGACAATGGGCTTTTTCTTTAACATCTCAATAAACAGAAACCACCAGAAAACATTTTTTTGCTACCTTGGCAAGAGCAACAATTTACTTTCACCGTCTTGTTTCAGCATTCTCTTAAATTTCATGGTCTACAGAATAATTTGGTCTTCAGGAAAACCTGATCATCTCAACATCCTATGTTACATCATGCTGGTCAACTGCACGAAAGGCATTAAACTGAAAGTACTTGATTAAATGGGATTATCGTGTACCCCAGATACTTTTACAAGAACCAAGAAATAAAAACCATCAAAATATAGGGACATCTTTCTTAGTGATATTTCTGATAGTCTGGACAGGTTGGGCCATCTCCTCCAAAATGTTTGCTGCATTTTACAAATCATATCATGTCAACTAAGCACTCTGAGGACAGAATCTAGAAGCCTAAGATTAATTCAAAACAATTAAAGTTTGGTCTATTTTACCGCAGAATTAAAATTCTATCCCTTTGCATACTCAAATATTAGTGATTTGCTTGTCTTTTTTTTTTTTTTCTTTTTTTTGTTAGAATGAGCTTATTCTTTCTTGGGATAAAATATACATTTGTATATATTTAAGTATATACATATTTCATATACACATATAAATACATATATAAATTTTAGCGTTTGCTACAGTGTGCCTAGTGCAAAATTACTTTAAAATAAAAACATTAAAAATATGTTTATAGAAGACTATGATAATGCACACAATTTTGTGAGCAGATAATGAAACTTAAAAATATTTGCTTTCAATGGAATTTTAATTTTCACACTATGTATTGATGTATCACTCACTCTCTATCCATATATCTATACATTCAATCATCTATCCATGTAACTAGAAGATTGAGAAACTCAGTCAATATTATCCCTTTTCTAAGTTTAAGAATTTTAAATAATTCATGGTTTGCATATTCATCATTTTATCACTTTGCAACCTATTTGTTAAGAGATCCTTATATAATTAACATATTCCCAATGAATTTTCATATCATTTCCTCCTTCTCCACAGATAGCATTCCTTTACCACATGTAAATTACTTTTTTTTCTTATTCTTTCACTTTCAGATGTGTTTATTTTTCTTGGCCATGAAAATCATCACAATTTTACAACGCTTTCCTATCAACCTCAGTACTATTTGCTTCATTTTATAAGGAACATAAAGTCCAACTAACTCTAGTATTCAGCTTTTCTTAAAACTTTGTATTTTGTTTTTGTTTTGCTTTATTCTTTAAGTAATCTCTACACCCAACATGGGGCTCAAAGTCATGACCCAGAAATCAACTGACCATTGACTGAGCCAGCCAGGTGTCCCAAACTTTATATTTTGACCTTACTAGTAAATTGCATGTAAAAAGTACCATTTGAATTTAGACAACTTACCGCAAGAGTAAGATACTAGACTTCATAATAATATAATGACTGGGAAAATGTTTTAAATACTGTATAAAACTAGGGTTGCCTAGTTAGCTAGGGTTACCTAATCAATTTCAGTTCCTAGTTTAATGCAAGGTTCTCATCTTACAAAAAAAATTGCTATTTTTCTTCTTGTACTTTATAAATATAATTTTGAATCTAGACAATTCATACTATGCACTAAAACTGTAGTAGATGACTGATGCCAGCCTTCTGTGACCATCTCAAGTGACCTCGAGGAGAAACCAAAAACAAGACAAACCAGAAAATAAGTTAAGTGGAGGCATGCAGGCAATGTTTTTGAATAATCTGATAAGAAACAAACATAATGTATTAAGATGACGTAAGGGTCTTTCACATGTCTATGTGGAACTCAGTAAACCTTAATTTTTACAACCAGACCAATTATACCTAGTGACACGCAACTATATGATGGAGAACTGCTTGCAAGGATAAATACCCATTCCCTTTTTGCATAGAATTCTCTGTAAACTAACATGCTTTGGAGCAATTCTTAAGACCAATTTGAAATACTGTCTCCTGGGCTATAGTCCACAGCAAGACAATGAATAAAACATTTATTAACCTATTTTAAGGATGGCTTTTTATTGTAGTCAACAACATATTGTGGTCATGTCACAAAAAATAAATCAATCAGCAAATGCCAAAACAAATTACAAATCTGAAACAAATTAAGAAATGCATTTCTCAAAAAAATCCTTAAAAGATTAAAATAAAGTTAAAATTCGCTGAAAGAAATTTTATATAAAAAACACATATGGCACAAATAATTTTCTTTAATTTAATGCTTAAAATATTCAAATATTAAAAACTACTACAGCCCACTTTCTATTATGCTGGTAATTGATAAATACGCAGCAATAATTAGTCAATATAAGACTTCTTAGGAGGTATTTGAAGTTTACAATTTTGGTGGAAATTGAGACTTTGGTTCACCTAAAATGTCAGATACTGAGAAAAATGTCTTCTTGTTTTGATTTTTTTTTTTTTTTTGGATAGATTTGCAAGCCTTTGGCAGTATGTGTATCCTGAGAACTCAGAAAAAATCAGCAACCAAGAGTCAACAAAACATTTGTTCTGAATACAAATGTTTGTTTTACATGATAGCAGTGCCTTGAACAGTTGGGTGAAAATTATTCTTTCATGGTATTTAAGGTATTTATACATCAAAACCACACTTTACAGTCTGAACAGACTACCAAGTCAAAGACAACTAGAGCAAATATTTATTAGTACGTTATCTTAAATGTATACAGTCATTTCCTATATATAGTTCAGCAGAGAAATATCTTTCAAGTAAGTTGAGGTTATGCAAACTAGAAATTATTCTCCCTGAGGAACATAACTCTCAGTGATTGTATTCAGTCATTGAATACATATTCAAACATGTTTTCAATATGTTAATGGAAGATTCATACACAGAACCATGTAAAGTTGAAAGATGTTACATGAGAAACCCGAAATCACATGCTGTAAAGTCAGTGTTCTTCTGATGTGGGAAGACAGTTTGCATTTACTGAACACTTGTGCCATCTAGATACTGTGATGGAATATCGACATATACCAGTATTGCCAGCAGCTGACTCTATTGTGAAAGAAAACTTAATTTTCATTATTTCTATCCAGTTCTTTAACACTTTTGTTAGTTCCACCTAAGGTTAGGGAGTAAATGGAGAAAAATATAAATGACTCATTTAAGGAAGTGGTATTTATGTGTGCAATGTTTTCTCTAAGAATAAAAAAAAAATGCTGTGGACATCTATGCAACATGGACAAGAATATCTAGACTATTTAGAATGATTCGTAATAAATTACTCAATTACTTTCATGTTATCCAGGCTGCTCTTGAACACTTCCCTTGATTTGATCAGTCAGAAACAACTATGAACTCGACTGCATGCACCTTTTCATCTTAAGTAATGGCTTGATTTACCTGACACATTCAACAATTCAAATTATTTTGGCCAAGATGTGATTACCAACAGCATTCTCCAGTCAACCAAGTCATTCTACAACCTACAAACTTACACTAATGTTTATATGAACTAAGTCCAAAACGATTCAGTCAAACATATCCTATTTCATTGTGAGTACTGCTAGCAACGATGTCTTCACTGATGAAAGTCCACCTGGCGTGCTAATGAGATGGCGATTTTATGCCCATGGACTGAGAGCTGTGGCCAAGGAATAGAGGGAAGTGACATTTAATGCCTCATCCCACCCAGATACCCCATTGTTGACAAAAACAAGTTATAAATTATCCATAGGCTTTGAATAATTCTTCTTACAAAACAGGTTGAATTTTAATTTAATCATAGTTTATCTTTGGTTTTTATTTTACCAGGAAAGACGCCCTCTATATTGATTTACTTAAAATGGAATATCTGAGTGGAAACTATGGGGGAATTTTAGCACAAGCAGGCCTGAATTGTCTACCATCTAATAATTACTCTTAAGGAATTTCAAGAGCTTTATATGGAACATAAATGTGTTTTCATGTATAGTTCACAGTTATTCTAATTTTGATAAGTGGATTTAGCAAAGAAAAATTCATTTTGTACGTTTTTATTATTATAATAATAGAAATGACAAGAAAAGCCTATTTCAATATGCAAAGAAAATTCAGCTGTGGTGCCAAACAAACAAGCAAACAGAACTCGATTGATTATCTGTTAAATTAATAAAATAAACAAAAAACATGAAGTAAACAAAACAACAAAATACGTAGATTTGAGCTACGATAATTGCATGTGTGAAATTTGAGATAAAGCTTTGCTACGAATGAATTTGAGCCAGAAATGTCTTTTTAGTAATAAAAAAAATTCAATGGAAAATTATCTTATTCTTAACCCCCTGTCCATGGATGAGAGTGCTAAGAAAGCCCTAGCTTTTATTTTTATATGAAGCATTTTGAGATGTATTCTACTTTAAGTCCTGGCCCTCTGGTTTATGAGAAGTTCTCTTATAGATCTCACAGTTTAGCCCTCACTTAGCTACGGAGAAAGTTGACAGAGCTCGGCCCAAGGTACATGATTTGGTTGGACATCACACTTACCTGCTTGATTTGTGGTTACATTTACAGACACATATTGCCGGGCTCCTGGGCTCAAGTCGGACACTCCATTCACTGCCTCAATCTCAAAGGTATAGTTTGTGTGAGCGAGCAGATCCACCATCATGACAGAGGTGTTTTTCAGGCCGATTTGCCGGGGGAGGTACCTGACATGACCTCCACACTCGTCACACACACCTGCATGGGAGTTGCACTTCTTGCATGCAATATAATATGAGACATCTTTCCTTCCACCAGTGTCAGCAGGGGGAATCCATTCCAGAAAGACACTAGTTTCATTAACATTTGAGATGGCATTCCGAGGAGCAGAGGGGGGTCCTGGTTTGCAAAGTAAAGTGAGAAAAACATATTTTAAGATGACAACATTAAGCATTGTTTACTACACAAGTCCCTGGTCTGAAGAAAAAAAAAATAGATTTGCAATCAATCTTTTAAGTAGGGAGAATGCAACAGTCATCAATTTGTAATAAGTGAAAGATCTTGTTCAGGTTTTGTAGGGACAATAGTGGGATTTATACCCTATAGGAATAACTTATCTCGGCATTGTTATAACTACTCATTTCATTAAAACAGATGTTTTGCTTACTGTAAATATAAGGTAGTATGAAGTAAAACTATGTATGCAAAAATAATGTTATATAAAAAATTATACGTTCAAAAAGTGGTAAGTCCTTTGGCAAATCCAAGGAAAAATTCTCCTTGGGGATTGAACTGATTACTTCCTCATTGAGATCTGTCCCAGTAACCTAGGAAGTACACATGAAGGATTTACTAAGCAATGAGCACAAGTGAAAATAGGATTTGCCAGTGTGGCTCTTGACTACAAATTTTGCAGCAAGTAAAACAGCCTTAGCTTACCTCAAAATGAATTGCATATACACAGATAAATCACCAACAGCATTCGAAATCTTTCTCATGTGTCAAGAAAAACCTAGAATTTAAGTAGTCGGACACTACAATGTGTAATAAAACTTCACTTACTTTGATATTGTTGTAGTACTGTGGCTCTGTAAACTGTGAATTTTACTTAATGGGAAATCAGAAATATATTTTATAAATAACTCTCAAAAACACCATGAGGGTAAGAATGAAAGTGTTCAGATCTTGAAGGAGCAGCAGAATGAGGATATATAAGTAATAACAATATCTTTTTGTATGTTACTTTATTTCTGAAACTAATAATTAGCTTACTGAAGAGAACTAAAATCAATTCTATAGCAGCTGTGACAACTGTATACCATGCTGGTGGGGGGTGTTGATTAGGGGGGAGGCTTTGCATGTGTGTGGGCCAGGAGTATATGGAAAGTCTCTGCCTTTCTCTGAATGTTGTTGTCAACCTAAAACTGCTGTAAAAAATTAAGTCTTTTAAAAAAGGAATTGCATAATGTCTATTTTACAGTTGATTACCAAATACTTAGCGTTATAACTTCAGTTAGGTGTTAACGTTATATGGTCAGATGTTCCCAAAGTAAAAATACATTTTTATTTGTTTCAGACTTGACAAGTAAAGATTTCCCAACAGAGAACAGAATGGACTATAGTGGTAGCTGAATGGTTCATAAGCATAAATTAAGCTGTTTGGGATGGCATAGCCTATTTATCTTAATATTTGTTGTTTTAAACATAGAGGTTATTATTAATTTCTACCTAACATTCATTAAGCCATGACTGTTGAAGACTAAATTTAAATAAGGTGATTAAAAAAAAACTACCTGGTATTTACAAAATGTCTTTTAAATTAAAGGACCCCATAACCCAAGAGTTGTCATTTTTGGAAAAATAATCCCCACCTTGACTACATTTATGGATGAACTCTGTGAATTTTGCCATACATACAACCTCACACATTTCAACACAAAACAGTTACTTTTAAGTTGAAACAATTACTTAAGATGGAAATACAAGTCTTAATTTTTTACTGATTTAATAGTGGAAAGTTACGGAGAAAATGTTGTTTGAGGTCAAAATGTTACAGGTTTACTTCTGAAGTGAAGGTAAACAGATTTGAAATATGTCTCATTCAGAAAGATATCAAACTTTTTTTCCTCCCTGCCAACTGAAATGAAACCAAATTTAACACCTTTCCTCTAAATCTGTACAAATACATCAGAGTCTGACTCTCCCTTTTCTTCTGGTTGTGCCAGTAACAGCCCCTCAAAATTTTGTGGGGACACATCTGCCTCTTAATGTCAAAGGGAAACTCAAATTCAAGTGAAGCCCTAAAGTAGAGGTAGAAAGTAGCAGCTCAGATGGTCATGCACCTAAAAATAATGTAATGAAATTCCACAGCCTGCTAATACATGTGATATGTGAACCAAAACAGGGCTATGTACCCTTGATTTAAGCAGATTCATCAGAAACTTTTTTGTTTTTCTTTTCCTATAAGTTTATAACATTCTATTTTCCAGATTTAGATAGAAAGATAGATAGATAGATAGATGATAGATAGAAGGAATTGGAACCATAAATTTAATTCGAAAGATCCAAAGTGAAAGAAAAATTCAAGATACTCATGTGAACATGTGAACATCAATCAAGCCACCCATTCAAGGGAAACATTTGCAGTATTTGTGGTGTTATGAATGCAACTAAAAACGGAACGCATGCGCTCACAGAATATATGTTAGCAAGATCTTCTATACAAGTCCCAACAGTCTTTTGAGAAATGTGTACAAATTAGTGCTCTTTTGAAACACAGTATTAGAAATTCACACACCTGGAAACAGAAAATTTGAAGCCTCAAGTCCTTTAAGAGGACGAAGCAGTCCCTGCCACCAGAGCACAGTCTCATCCCAAACCTAAGAAACTTACAGAAAGGGAGACTCAATTCTGTGCTGAGAAAGAGAAAGATCATGGCTGGATCACTTAAAGAAAATAATTATTAGAAAACTAAGGAAATTTAAAAGATAATTCAAGACATGGTTTTCTCTTCCTAATTTACCAACCTATTGTCTATCCACATTTCCCTCTACTTGGACATCCTTTTGCTCTGAATAACTGAAATCATTTCTACTGTAACCAAAGTGTATCACTTTCAATCATAGTTTTATCTCCTCTATTCAAATGCAACCTCCCCAAAGTGTATACAATAATGTCATTTACTTATTTGAATAGGAATTGTTTATAATTAGTAACCATCTAACCCGTAAAACTATCAGTCTGGTGATAAAATAATTGTTTTTAGCAATACAAAGCTAATTAATATCAATGATTTGAAAAATTATGAAAATATGTCTCACTGACACTATGGAATTCAGACCTTGAAATTCAGATAAAATTTCAGTTTGTGACAATTTATTAAAGGAATTGTATTCCTATTTATATTTAATAGTAGAATGAATGTCCTAGAATAAATACTAAATTTCAAAAAGTTTTATCATCATCTTTGAGAGCAACGACATCTTCCTGGGATCAAAAATAATAAAACAAGGCAAGGTCATGGATATTGAATGTAATGAGGAGAGGGGATTTACTTTCTTCCCTTTCATTTTGAGTTTTTGTTTCATTTGCCATAGACTCTGAATGTGGAAAATTTATGAAAGGATTTCTGTCAAATACATAAATGTGCTTTTTTCTCAGAAATCTGTGGAACGCTAGAAAAACAAAACACCAAAGACATTGAAGAATGTGGATGCTTCCACTGCGAATGTTGGAATTAAATATTTACTATTCATTTTTCTGATGATATGATTATGTGCTATAATTAATTAGAGTTAGGGGCGCTCACTAATAAGAAACATGACAACTGCTTGAAAGTCCTAGCTAAAAATTTGGTTTTATATTTGACTCCTAAATCCTATTGGCCAACCCTCACCACTCCACGTGGTGTTTCCTACCTTTTTTTATAGATGACCTTCTCACTGGCCCTTGTAGTTTAGTGTGGCAGGTAAGAAAAAAAAAAAAAGGCACAAGTGCCATTTATTGTATGCTTATGTGATCAGAAGCCTGGGTTGGGAGAAGAATGAAAAAAAAAATTACTGTGAATAGCGAAGTGGGTTCATCAAAGTCATGTTTAGCCATCCTGAACACTAAAAGAAATCAGAAAATAAAATAAAATATACTTTATCTGTCTTAGATGTTGAATTTGAAATTAGGGAAAATGAATGCTTCTAACAGCGAGTGATAAAAGAGACTCAAACTTTCCAAAGCTTACTCAAGAAAATCGAAATTTGGTAAAAAAAAAAAAATAGCTATTTTGGAAGATTAAACATTATGCCTGTTTTCGGGAAAATGGTGATAGAATGCAACAGGCTCCATCATGCTCTTTCTTCGGAGTGGTGAAAGTTCGGATCACCAAGTATCAGTGGGTTTCCTTACTTGTGCATGCCATTGTGGGTGGATCAGACTCCCTCCTGAAATAATCCTTTTCACAGACACAAGAGGTTGAAGCTTCCTCATGGGTAAAACTGTGAGGTGGACATTTGCTGCAGGTCTGGCTGTGAGGTGAGGCTTTGAAGAACCCAGGTCTGCACACTGTCAAAAGAAATAAGAGACTAAGCTTTTCCTTGGAACAGATGCAGTGTTTGTTTGGTGAATAATGCCATTATTTTGACTAGTATACACAGATTACATATAACACAATATTTGCATTAATTTCAAAAATGTTTCACAAGCTTCGGAATCATAAATACCAGCCTATTCATTCAGATAATCAGATATTTAAGTATTTAAATTAAACATGTCTGGAATATGTGTATTTTCAGTGACTTCTATGCTGCAGGAGCTTATAAGAAATTATATTATGAAAGATAAATACTTATATGTACTTAAAACTTTAGTCTTTTGAGTATAGTTTTCATTAACTCTGTTATTAATACAAGTGTGTTGAAGAAATGCTAATTTTCCCCGATGCTCATAAAACAGTAAGGTGCATAGTAGGTGCTTGAAATTTTGTTATTAAATTAAATAATTAATTAATTGATTAATTAATTAATAATTAGTAGGTGTCAAGAGCTTCATAAATTTTGTTATATTTGGGAGAAAGCATGGGTGAGCTGGTGTATCATTCACATTATATTGATTTCAGGAGGAGTCCGATGTTAGGCATTTACTTTACATTTTACTCCATTTTAGAACTATTTGATTCAACAAGCATCTATTCTGATACAGTCATATTTATACTGTACAAATTATTATGATCTATAAAGGATAGAAAATGTGTCTTATTCAATTTTACATTCATAATACTTATCACAGTGTTCGACCACAGTAGGCGATCCTAAATTGTTATGTAACACATAAATGAATGAAAGACATAGCATGAAGATTGTGACTGAACTATTCAAAATCACATAAAGAAAATGTTCTTTGGGTATCTGTGTTAACATTTCTGTTGGTGGTCAAATAAGTGTTAATAGAGTTTATCTTTTTTTTTTTTTTTTTTTTTTTTTTTTTAATTTCTGCTCATTCCCTAACCTCTGGTATCTTTCTTTCTTCTGCATGGCTAATAAAACCAAACTTTTATTCCAACTTTCAATATGTGGGCCAATTGAAAACCACCAAACTGATGGTTTGATTACCTTTTAGGGCTTAGATTACATAAAACTAATCAACCGTATATATCTTTTCTATTTTCAGAATTCAGTACATACACTTAAGAGCATTTATTCAGGCATCAATGGAAATTTGCTAAAGCTGAAAGGGGAACTTGTATTTCAACAGAAAATTTTGATAGACATAATGAATTTTGGCTAATTTTCATGTGCTATAAATGATTTGGGTTTTTAGTAATCCATGCTAAGGCTTTTTGCCATCACCATGAATAATCAGGAATTGACAAAAATGAGAAGGGACTTTTTTCAGTAGATCTAATTATAGCGATAGCAAAGCCTTAATGCTCTTATAAATTCAGAGAGAATGTGAAGGTATTTGAAAGATAAGAAGAGCTTTTTGATAGTATTAGGGACATTCTTGTAGTCAAATGATTAGGAAAAGATTTAAAATATTATTTTTCTTATAATAGGATTGCTGTAGCAGCCAATACCATTCATTGCTAAGTTATCCATTTTTTCTTCTTTCATCCTCTACAGTAAAACCGTTCTCACTTTAAACACTATTTTCAAAGACATGAAGTGTCAATCCACAATTCTGCCTATTTGGAAATAAGTGATCATTTATGAAACAAAAGGCATTTATTTTCTTTTAATGAATGCCTGTTAACTTAAAAACTTATTTTGATACCATATACAACACTGTTATTTAACCTTCCATAGAAACTTTGGAAACAGAAAGAAATGTAAAAGTAAGTTAAGATGGTAAGTGTATCTTTCTCACCAGCAGTTCAAAGAAATCCTTTCAGCAGATGAGTAGGACAGAAATTTTGCTTGGTACTAGGTTACAGAGGTAAATAAGATAGACATGTGTCTGCCTTTATGAGTCTTAACAGTATTACATGAATAATTATAAATATGATTATGATAGAAAAAAAGAAAGAGCATGGAAGTGAAAACTGATACCTAATTTAGACTGGAATATCAAAAAGACTTCTTAAGGAAGCTGAGCCTCTGCTGAGATTAAAACAAAAAATTAAAAAGGAAAATTATCCAATTTGCATTTGCATTAAGGGGGGGCATTAGAGTGCATTAATGTGCATTAGAGGGGCAAAATCCTTGCAAACAAAGAAAACCGGTGGAGAGCAAACGAGGAGATAGAGAAAACTAAAAGTTCAGGGTGATAGTAGACTTAAAATGGCAGAGATAAAGTTAGAGAGGGAAAAGGATACCAGGTCACACCTTAGAGGTTTTATTGTTTGAGGTCATTACACAAATTTTAAGCAGGGAAATACTGAGATCACAATGATGTTTGACAGATCAACGTGGGTAATGGATTAGACAGGAATAGGGATGGAGCCATTTTCTCAGAGAACTCCAGGTATGAAATGAGTTTGGGGGAAGATAATGATTATGCTTAAGGTATTATTTATTTTGAGGTTAAAGAAATTCACATAACGGTATAGAGAGGAAAACTGTGAGCTCAATGTTTTCCAAGAAAAAAAATACATGTATATGTAATTATTCATTGCCTTCAAATCATGGCCCCCAATCCAAATGGGACCTACAATGCTGCAAGACAATTTTAGTATTATTTCCTTAGTTAACTTTGGTTTTCAGCACCAGCATGAATATTTTGTAGCTTCTCCTCTCTCTTCTTATTCCTTAGAAGCTCTATTCCTTTGTGATCTCTCGCTGGTACATTTTTCTGTGTGCTGAGAAAATAGAAGTCATTAAAGAAACTTGCTTATTTTCCTATCACCAAATCTCCAAACCTATGTGCACTTGTAGCCACCCTCTCTCCCTTCTTTCTTATGAAAAATTGAAATGTGTTTTTGCTTCTACCAATGAAAAGTATCTTTATTTGAATTAAGAACCTCATCTCTATTCTCTGAGAGTAATCTTTCAAATTATCTACTATCCCTTTTACATACTCAGTTTCTGTCTCTCTCTCTCTCTCTCTCTCTCTCTCTCTCTCTATCTCTTTCTCTTAATCTCTATCTCTCACCTAGTCATTCATATGACCTCAATACAGTTTTCCAGAATTTTTCAATGGAAACAAAGTGAAGCACAATAAACAAATAACAACAATAAACTATCAATCTCACTTGATCTCAGTTCTCTCTGTAGCTATCAAACAGTTTTGCTACCCTTCAGAACACAATTTCTTAAATTATTTTTCCATACATGCACCTCTAGTTCCTATTTTATTATTTTTTTTTCAAAAAAAATTTTTTTTTTCCAACGTTTATTTATTTTTGGGACAGAGAGAGACAGAGCATGAACGGGGGAGGGGCAGAGAGAGAGGGAGACACAGAATCGGAAACAGGCTCCAGGCTCTGAGCCATCAGCCCAGAGCCCGACGCCGGGCTCGAACTCACAGACCGCGAGATCGTGACCTGGCTGAAGTCGGACGCTTAACCGACTGCGCCACCCAGGCGCCCCTCTAGTTCCTATTTTAAATCACACATTGGCATAGTCCACTCCCCTGAAATTGGTTTTAAGATTGCAGTCATCTTGTTGCCATACTTCTCGACAGCATTTGATCATGTCATTTTTGGGAAATTCCAATTAATTTTATTACAAAATGCTAGCATAGTCTGCAAGTTTCCACACAAAAAGAAATCCTTCAAATATGGTCTTCTCCCACACTCACTGTCTCCATCCATACTAATCTACTTATAATTTCTTGCACTTGGGAAACTCTTCTATCTGCTTCTAAATATTGCAGGAAAAGCATTCTAACCAAAGAAGAAGAAGTGTAAGAAAAAGTTTGTAGTCCGTGATAAGGACTTTGGATTTAATCTGAATGCATTTGGAAAAAACTGTTTTTTTTTTTTTTTTTTTTTTTTTTTTTTTTTTTTTTTTTTTTTGTTGAGACCACTCCTTCTGTCAAGCCCTGTGGCAAGGGATATTTATATTGTGGTCAGAAAATAAAAATTTGTACTTGAAAGTACTGTGAATCCACAACATATATGGGGAGGCCAAAAATAAAAAGTGATAATCAAAAGAAGCAAAATTGACTTTTTTTTGCATTTTAATTACAGCCATATTTAACAAATAATTATTAAGGTGAGTATTAAAATTTCTTTAAATTCCATCTCGATATCGTTTACTTAAACAGTTAAACATAAAGGCAGCTTCTGGAGCAAAGTTGTGTCAAATAATAATTGTATGTTGCCTAAACATTATTTAGAAAATATTACGCAAGTCTATTTAAGTTGAAAGAGGAGTAGGAGACAAAAACTGTATCCTCTATGAATATGCTTCATGAAACTGATTAGGCAATCCTTTGGAGAGAAGGAAACTTTTTTTTTTTTTGGGAAGGAAACTATTTTTAATAATTCCTTTACTGTCCATGTTCCAAGGCTCTTTTTAAGTGCTACTTTTTCCATATTTGTGATGATGTCCATGGCTATATAATCTTTCTTTACACATCTTTTAGATCTAGAAACTATTTAATATCTATCTTATGGCATATAGCAAAATTTTTGTCAGTTTTATGTGTAGGAATTTTCACCTGCTCCCAACTCTATATAAACATTCTGGAGAATAGAAACAGTTCATTTGATTTTCATCATTTGTAGCATAATTCATTGTATTGAGTACATATTCAGCAACATTTATTGGATGGATAAATAGTATATTTGTGTCCTTCTCAGGGTCAAAATGACACAGCAGAACTTAATAAAAGCTGATGAAGCTAAATTATTTAAATATTAACTCTTGACAAGTAAATAATAATATGTGTTAGTTACATCTACACTGGCTACTTTAGAAATTTTACATAAGCTACCAACATTCCAGCTTTCATAGTTATCACTTAGAAAATTAGGATGTTAATTACACCTATTAAAATAGTTTTAAAAATCTAAACAAATATACATCATCAGTATATGAATTTCATTTGTTAAAGTTGTAAAATGGTGTTACCTAATCTAATGAGAAAAATTTTGTAGTTCTCAAAATTGTCAAAAATGTTTA